ATAGTAATTGATTGCGTAATTTATATACACAATGTATTACATTCCCACCCCGGTGAAGACATTGCCACCCGGGCGAAGACATTCCCACCACGGGAGAGAGAGAGCATTAAATTTTTAAAAATTATTTTGATGATTTGTTAGGCTATTAATTATTTAAAACTTATATATTTAAAAGTTATAATTATTTTCAGAATAAATTGAGCTATATTAAACATTTTTTGCGTCTTTCATTATTAATTACTTTTAAAAATTAGTTAAAAGATATAAAAAATCAATAAGTTTATATTATTCTATAAATACTTTAATAATTGTAAACTCAATAAATTAAATCCAAATTTAATAAAAACAATATATTTGATAATTGTTATCACATTATATACTGTGTTGTTGTGCACACTATAAAGCAAATGATAGGTGATTGTAGGAAAGCATTGACCTCTTATATTGAACACAACTGTCCCCCGACTGTCAAACACTAAATTCTTGTGTATATATTTGATGATAAATTCTTAAGTTTACAATATATAGAAAGCTATAGAATATAATAAATTGTTTGGCACTAACTTTCATCCATTAAGTCTATTGTGCGCTCATATAATATAAACTAATAAATTCTTTTAATTCAATCCATTGACCAGAATATTAACAGACAATAAAACCAAACATAAATGTTGTGAAATAGTTGACAAAATCAAATAATTTATTTTTTCACTAATTGCATGACGAGCACAATATATAAAAACCATATGTTTAAATTATTTTTTATCATTAATATAATGTTTATTAATTATTTAATATTAAACTAATTATTTATAGTAATTTAATTTAAGTTTAATATAAATATCCTTGAACATTATATATTTTGATATATTTCACTGTTTTAATCAAATTAAAGCACTTTATGTCCAATTCTTTCCTATAAAACATTAATCTTTTTCTCGTCAAATGATTGATAGCATAAAATGAATATAAAAACTTAACATCTGATTGTATATAATATAATATATGAGAGTAAATAAATGACTGGATATTTGTTTGATTTTTAGTGAATGAGATTCCTTCTTCTGGTGAAATATTGATGTTTTGGGTCATTCATCCCAAAGCGGATCCACTGAATTGAGAGCCGCAGACAATCTAAATATCGTACATTATATGGTAGTGTCTAATGTAAAACACAATCATTATTCTTATGCATTCTTAATAGTAATAATAAAGTGTGTTATGTATTTGAAATGGCATTTGACGATCACTTCCTTAGATCTTGGGCTCAACGATCTTTGACTAAACTCACGAGTGATGCAAAAATCCAATCATTTCTCAATTGGTGGCAGAGATTGTCAGAGAAGAAGTTGACTTCACTTCACTAAATATAGACTTCATTTCAAAGGATTCGGTAACTATTCTATAGTATTAATAGTATTCTCTATACAGCAGTCAATTCTATACAAACACTAAGCCTTTCTTCTCAAGAATAGCCAAAAATAACTTATCTATAGATCTGTTTCTTATTATTTGTGATGATGTGAAATATATTTGATATTCCAATAAAATATTGAAAGAACTTGACATTGGAGTTGTTATAAAGGTTTTTAGTCACAAAGTCTTATTTTATATTTATTTTGGCAAAACTTAATCAATATTTTACAAATATTTACATATTTTATAAATTTATATATTGTATGCAATATAAAGAAATCCACAGAAATACTGTATTAATATAAAAGGCTTTATAGTTCTCAACTTTATCAAAATTTCATATCTAAGCCTCTCATTAATGCATAAGTTTTGCTCTAAAACAATGAGTTGTTTAATAATTTATAATTCAATGCCTATTTTTGTTTGCATTCACGGATCCGTAGGCGTCATGTTTGCCATAGACTGTGTCTATAAACTATTTTTATGATGAGAAGCATACTCTGGGTTCTATACAATTCATTTAATCATTACTTTTTCCTTTAATTTAGCGAAACAATAGGACATTGGATAGCGTCGTATCAGTTGAATACAAAGCATTGGTATTTCCAACACTCGATACATTATCATTGATGATTACTCGGGGGTTACCATTGATTTTTGCAAACCATAACATAATAACCATAATATAATAAACTATTTAATTTTATTAATTATTTAAATAAATACTATTTAAATAATTTTATTCAATAATAGTGATGATAAAATTTTCCAACAAAGTTACTAAATTTAGTCATTACTGATAAGAGTTGTTGTTTTATTGTCTATTATATAACAGACAAATATGTTGTTCAATGAGCCGACAATATTAGCCCAAATGAGTCCGAAATAGACAATTGTTTGGAAGTGAAACTGAAAACCGTTGACTTACTATGTATTCCAGAATCAATTATTTTCAATGAATATAATGTTTATTCTGGCGATGCATACAAATTAAGATGAAAATAAAAGAGTTAACACAACATGTGTGTAGTAAAGCATGTATTTTTATTTTGTTGTATTTATTATGTTTAATGAATGAATTATACATTTCTATTCACACAAATGAAATGGATTATCGATTCCAAAGCGAAACAAACATAAAAAGTGAGACTTCTTTTTTCGTCAATTGTAATATTCGTTTGGTTACTGGCTATCAATGTATCAATAAATAGATCGCTATATAAATGATGGCTAAAATCTAATATCATTTTAAATGAGAGTCGAGAGTCAAATGAGTTGGTTTTATATCGTGTTTCTGTCGATCCGATGGTCGCGTACTTCGGTTCCGGTTTCTGGCGATGACTTGTTTAAGAGACGGCACAACTGTTTCGTTTAGGCATTCCTTTGTCTTTACTGACAGGACTTGTGGGACATTCGGGTAAAGAGCTTCTCCTTGGCTTCCCATTGGCGATGGCGGGCCCGACATCGTAAGGCACTTTCGCCTGAATCATCAGCTCCTGGAATATTTTCACCACATTCTTGTTCTCTTTGGCCGAACACTCCACGTATCCGTTCTCCCAATCCAGACATATCACACTTTCCGCCACTTCCTG